GGGGCCACCGCGCCGGCGACCCGGCGCTGCCCCCGCTCCGCCGCCTGCTCCCGCTCCCTCAGACGGCGGCGGCGGCGGAGCAGGGGGAGAAAAATGCCATAATTCATTAGCATTCCTGCGCGCGTCACGTGCGCGCCGCTGCCAATGGCGGCCCCACGCCGGCGCGCCGGGCCCTGCCTCCTGCGCCGCACGGCCTCGCAGGTCAGCGGGCTGCAGGCCCCGGCCTTGCTCCATAGCAACGCGGCGACCAGGAGGAGGAGGAGGAGGAGGAAGGGGGAAGTGGCGGGCACTGGGTGTCCCGGCCGCGGCCACGGGCTGGTGCCGCCACTGCCAATGTTGTGCCAAGGTGGAGGCTGGCGGCCTCTACGGTTGGGTTATGGCCTCTAGGGTGGTTCCTGGGACATGCCGGGATGGAGGGATGCTGTGGGAACCTGGACTGCTTCCCAGGACATCTCGGGATGGAGGGACGCTGTGGGACCCAGGATTGGTTCCCAGGATATCCCGGGATGGAGGGATGCTGTGGGACCCAGGATTGTTTCCCAGGATATGCCGGGATGGAGGGATGCTGTGGGACCCAGGATTGTTTCCCAGGATATGCCGGGATGGAGGGATGCTGTGGGACCCAGGATTGGTTCCCAGAACATCCCGGGATGGAGGGATGCTGTGGGACCCAGGATTGGTTCCCAGAACATCCCGGGATGGAGGGATGCTGTGGGACCCAGGATGGTTTCCCAGGATATCCCGGGATGGAGGGACGCTGTGGATGCCAGCTCTGGCACCCTGGAGGAGCTGGGGTGACTGGGTGCTGCCGCCACCCCAGTGTCCCTGCCACAAAGCAGCRTCACCCTGGGATGCCCCCCGGCTGCTCAGGACCAAGCACCAAATGGGGTGAAATCCTGAGTTTAGGACATGGAGTGTGCGTGGGGGTGAGTCAGGTTTGCCCCCCGATGCCGTGGGCCCCCCCGCAGCCACTGGTGGCGAGTGAGAGCCGGGGGGAGGCGAGAGGGGCTGGGGGGGGGGACAAACCGCGGGTGGAGGACACAGAGCAGCCCACTCCTGGGCCCCCCGGCCCCTCCTGGCCCCACATCCCGCATGAGCATCCCAGCTGTCGGCAGCATCCCGTGGGATTGCCCCTCCGCACAGTGGCCGCGAGGGGGCAGCGCCCGCCCGTGCTGAGCCCCGGCCAACTCGTGTCACGGCCTTTAACTCCTCGTCTGCCCCGGCTCGGTGCTGCCCGCGGCTGAGGCCGGGGCCTCCGAGGCCGGCGGGCTCCGAGTGCCGCCGCTCCGCGCCGCGTCCCCGCGGAGCCTCCCCCAGATCCCCCCCGGATCGCGGCTCCCCTGGCCACTTTGCTGGGAGCTGCTAAATCCCCGGGCACGGCTCTGCGGGATGTGGGACCCTGGCATTCCTGCAGGGATGTGGGATCGTTGCATTTCTGAAAGGTTCCAGGRCCGCTGCGTGTTTGCGGGGATGTGGGATAACGGCATGTGGGATAAAGCGGGGACCCCTGCCCACCGCGGTGCTGCACAGCGTGCCAGCGACACCCCAAAACACCCCAGAACATCCTCCCAGGGTCCCCCGAGAGCAGCCCCGGGCACCAGACGGGAAAGGCAGCGCAGAGGCAGCGGAGCGGCCGCGGAGCCCCCGCCGCGGCCGCGCGCTCCGGGGCGCCGGGCGGGAAGCGCTTTTAAGCGCCCGCCTCATTGTTCCCCGCCGCGGGGCGGCCGGGCCGCGGCGCCGCTCCGAGGGCCGGGTTTCCAGCCGGAAATTTCCCGTCTTGGAGCAAGAAGGGCCAAAGAGCGGCGCGGGGGGCGGGGGGGGGGCCCGGCGGCGAGCGGGGCGGCGGGCGCGAGTGTTTGCGCGGATAAGACGGGGCGCCCCTTCCCAGCGACACAAAGCACGGACGCGGG